AACAACCCCATTTACCACTGCAACAAAAAGAATAAAATACCTAGGAATAAACCTACCTAGGGAGACAAAAGACCTGTATGTAGAAAACTGTAAGACACTGATGAAAGAAATTAAAGATGATACAAACAGATGGAGAGATATACCATGCTCTTGGATTGGAAGAATCAATATTGTGAAAATGACTCTACTACCCAAAGCAATCTACAGATTCAATGCAATCCCTATCAAATTACCAGTGGCCTTTTTTACAGAACTAGAAGAAAAAATCTTAAAATTTGTATGGAGACACAAAAGACCCCGAATAGCCAAAGCAGTCTTGAGGGAAAAAAACAGAGGTGGAGGAATCAGACTCCCTGACTTCACACTATACTACAAAGCGACAGTAATCAAGACAATATGGTACTGGCACAAAAACAGAAATATAGATCAATGGAATAGGATAGAAAGCCCAGAGATAAACCCACGTGCCTATGGTCAACTAATCTATGACAAAGGAGGCGAGGATATACAATGGAGAAAAGACAGTCTCTTCAATAAGTGGTGCTGGGAAAACTGGACAGCTACATGCAAAAGAATGCAATTAGAACACTCCCTAACACCATACATAAAAATAAGCTCAAAATGGATTAGAGACCTAAATGTAAGACTGGACACTATAAAACTCTTAGAGGAAAACATAGGAAGAACACTCTTTGACATAAATCACAGCAAGATCTTTTTTGGTCCACCTCCTAGAGTAATGGAAATAAAACCAAAAATAAACAAATGGGACCTAATGAAACTTCAAAGCTTTTGCAAAGCAAAGGAAACTACAAACAAGACGAAAAGACAACCCTCAGATGGGAGAAAATATTTGCAAACGAATCAATGGACAAAGGATTAATTTCCAAAATACATAAACAGCTCATGCAGCTCAACATTAAGAAAACAAACAACCCGATCCAAAAATGGGCAGAAGACCTAAATAGACATTTCTACAAAGAAGACATACAGATGGCCAAGAAGCACGTGAAAAGCTGCTCAACATCACTAATTATTAGAGAAATGCAGATCAAAACTACAGTGAGGTATCACCTCACACCAGTTAGAATGGGCATCATCAGAAAATCTACAAACAATGCTGGAGAGGGTGTGGAGAAAAGGGAACCCTCTTGCACTGTTGGTGGGAATGTAAATTGATACAGCCACTACGGAGAACAGTATGGAGGTTCCTTAAAAAACTAAAAATAGAATTACCATATGACCCAGCAATCCCACTACTAGGCATATACCCAGAGAAAACCATAATTCAAAAAGATACATGCACACCAGTGTTCACTGCAGCACTATTTATAATAGCCAGGTCACGCAAGCAACCTAAATGCCCACTGACAGATGAATGGATAAAGAAGATGTGGTACATATATACAAAGGAATATTACTCTGCCATAGAAAGGAATGAAATTGGGTCATTTGTAGAGATGTGGGTGCATCTAGAGACTGTCATACAGAGTGAAGTAAGTTAAAAAGAGAAAAACAACTATTGTATATTAATGCATATATGTGGAACCTAGAAAAATGGTACAGATGAACTGGTTTGCAGGGCAGAAATAGAGACACAGATGCAGAGAACAAACGTATGGACACCAAGTGGGGGGAAGTGGCAGTGGGTGGGGGGGATGAATTGGGGGATTGGGATTGACATATATACGCTGATATGTATAAAATGGATAATAATAAGAGCCTGCTGTATAAAAAAATAAAAATTTGAAAACAAACGAACAAAAAAACAGTTCCTGACCACAAGTAGTTTCCAAATCAAACCAGTGCAAAGGTTCTTTTTTCCTAAGTGTAAATAATTATGGGGTAGTGATCTATGACAAAGATTTGCTTCACTCTCAAAATTGTCAAGATTTAAAGCAAACAGATGGGCAGCCAATATCTGACAGTACAGAAGAAAAATTAGCAAGTAATCAGGACTCTGTTGTCACAATTCTCTGTTGGCCTGACCATTTGTTTAAACTGAGCCCTTGGATTCACGACTACTTGTCCATAAGTCATAATGGATCTACATTTACGTAGGTCTGATAAAAAATCACTTAGCTGCTGTTTCTTGGGAAGAACTGAATATATTTGTAAACACAAACACCTATGTTATTAGTATATAAACTAGGCAATGATCCTACATAAGGTGATATCAAATATGTATTCTTTATACAAGAGCTGAAAATACACTAACTAATAAGTGCTCTACAAGTTATTTTTTGGACAGTGCATACAATACAAACTCATACTCCTCTTACGTTTCTCCATGACATATGACCCATAAGTGAACAGCAAACCCAACCCGTCAGCCGTAAAACCCCAAATTCATATCTGGATACTGGGGCCAGAATACTACAAATGTAATTAAGCTGATTAGGTTTTAGAGATGCTGTTTTCTCATAAAATAATTTGTGCAGTTGGTGGGGAGGGGGGGTGTGCTTTACAGCTTTAATAAGGACAAAAGCACCTGTTAAGCTTTTCAACTTAGGAATAACATGTAAAACATCATACTTATGTGGACACTTAGAAACATAAGAACTTCAGTTACTTGACAATTTCAAAAACTGATTCTAAGAAAGATAAAATAACCAAAAGATCAACCTTTAGAGCACTACTTTACTTTCCAAAAGTGTCACACCTCATAGTGACAATCTTTAGAATACCAGAATGTTTAGAAATTAATATTTAGTCCAATATCACCATTTTTATAGATGAGGAAATCAAGATCTGGTCTAGACACTGGCACTTAAAAGGGGGTGGGGTGGGACACAAGGTCCTGGACAGGGCACTGAGCTTCTGGGAAGTAGGGCTGAAGCCCTGGCTGGCTGGGGAGGCAGCTCTGTCAGGGAGCTCAGAGCTTTGAAGGAAACTGGGCTCAAAAACGCGGGCAGGGCGTTGGGGAGGAGCTCCTTCTCTGAAAGGCATAATCCAACATAAAGATACTCTGGGCATGGAAGTTGGGTTACCTTCCGAGCCTGGGGTCCTCTGGTGAAAGACGCTTCCCTGGCATGAGGGGCGGAAACAAAGCACGCGGTCACCACCTTCATCACTGGAAAGGCCAGGGAAGCAAACTCTTTTCGAAAGACACGGAACCAGACATCAGGACTAAAGGTGATAATGAGTGCAAAAGCTGTATCAGCGATTCGGTTTTACACAGAACAGAAAGGAATCATCCCCTGACTTGCCCATCTGTCTCCAGCAAACTCAAGATCCAGAAGTGAACAAGGGCTCAGAGGCCGGCTCCTCAGTGTGTACCTTACAAGGCCCTAGGAGATGACGATTCCTATTTTCAAGATGCTCCAACCCTGGGGAGGGCAAGAGGGGCAGCAGATGTGCTGGTGATTTTCCGCTTGCCCCCCCCCACCCTGGAGATGCAACCTTGGCCTGTGTCTGTGCCCTGGCTGACCAACCTCTCTGACCCTCATTCCAGCCAGGCTCATCCAATGGGAGGCCCTGGTAGGAGAAAGCGGGATAGGAAGGAGTAGAAGTCGGCGTATTTCCTCCCATTCTCGCCTGTGGCCCCTGCCTAGGGGCCCTCATCAGTGGCCCCCTCTCCTGGGCTTGGCTGTAGCATTTCCTCCCTGGTCCCTGCAGGCCTAGGGGGCTTCAATGCCCTCCTGGTCTCAATGCTCCTAGCCAGTCCCCTTTCACTCCTTCATTCAGTTGATCCATGTGAGTTGGAGTCTGTCTCCTGCCAGGACCACTAGGGAATAGAAGCCATGAAATAAGAACGGCATCTTATACTCACTTCCACTTACTTGGAAAAATTTTATATTGAAACTGAGAGAGCAGAACAGAAATCCACATAAACCTTAAAAATAAACAGACCTTCCAAAATCTTCAAACTCCAAATACTGCTGCGTTGGCAGGTCACAGTCCTTTGGTCTCCAGAATCTTTAGTGGCAAGACAGGGAGAGGACGCTTAACTAGCTTGACTGGAAACTCCCTCAGGCTCTCCTGCTCTCTGGAATTCACTGATTGCCTGAGGGAGTCAGGGAAGGGGAGGGTCCGACCTCACGGGAGGGCTAGACCCAGCAGAGATGTTGAGAAGAGGCATGTGACCCAGAGGAAGAAGCTGGAGGAATGACAGCATCTTTAGACCACAGCCCGTGAAGGGAAATCAATCATCCTCTTAGGACACCATGATTAGAGTCCAGTACTTTGACTGCTTTCATAATAAAGAGTCAGCCTTTGGCAAAAAGTCCTGCTAGAAGGCCAACATATTTTGTTACTCAAGGGGTGGAGAAATGTATAATCCATATTACAACACTTTTCACAAAGCCTGTAATTTAATATAGACTAAATAACAGATGTGGCCATACCTAAAGTGAGCACATATCAGTCATTTAAAAGAAGATTAAAACACAAGTCTATCTGATTTCTGGTAATACTGGATAGAGTAAGGGTTAACCACCATCTCTTGCCCCAAATTCCTCTCAGTTGAACCCAGAAGAGAGGAAAATGCAGGCTGTAGGGGCACATGCATAAAATGAGACACTCCTGGGCTTCTGGGAGGGGACACAGGGCAAAGTTACCGAGTAGAAAACGAACTAGCTGGGGAGTCCTCGCTGGGCCCCTCCAAACACCCATTTGATTCAAATCCCTTTCCTCCCTCCTCATCTCTCTCCCTCCTCGTCTCTCTCTCTATTATGTCCCTGCTAATAAGCTTTCATCGAAAATCAGGTTTTGAAGTCAAAAAACATTTGGACACTACTGGTTTAGGTTAAACACAAGTATATATATATACGTGAACTGCTACTACAGACAAGTAATGAGAAGACCACCCATATCTTTTAATACCTTCCTGATGAGTCTTCTTAAATGCACTCCTATCCAGATATAGAAGGCTTATCTTTCTCAATAACTAATCCCAAGCAGGATTATTTCATTTCTAAGCATTTCACTTTTTAAAAAAGATTAAAAAATTAAAGGAAGGCATTGAACCTTAGGAAGAACCAGAGGGCTAATCTGCTTACCTGCTGTCCCCAGCATTTGCCACGTACAGCTTCCCCAAAAGGCAAATCACAATGAGGGCTGTGCAACCACCAGATATATTGTATGAACTCCTCTCTCGTTCGATTTGTAGGTCCTGGAAAAGAAGACAAAGTTAGTAGAGGTACAAAGACTGTCTTAGCCTTGCTCCCTCGACACAGCCCTAAGATCTGAGGACGACTTGAAGAAGGGACAAGAAAATCTTTAGTACTGGCTTTCTATCACCTGACAAGCATTTCTGGAGAGGACACTGGCATAAAACTGTCGCCTGCCAGACCATCTGCGGACCAGAGACAGGAAACAGATATAATAAGGCAAACAGATATAATAAGGCAAACAGATATAATAAGGCAAACAGATATAATCAGACAAAAATGAGAAGAATTAAACCAATTGTATTTAATAAATATCATGGCTTACGGAAAATTCAGTCTTTGTATGGACAGCCTGAGCTGCTGTGGAAAACAGATAAGAGAGGCTAATAATGTTGAGTGCTTGGACCTGATCAATGTTTTTAACCCCAAAGTCTCCAATAAATAAATTCCTTTACAGCTAGACGAGACAGGTGACTTGAAGGACTGTGTCCTCAATTCAACTTGGGTAGGAGTCCACCCCCGTCTTACTGATCAAAGATAGAAGCTTCTGAACTCTGAACTGACTTCCTCTTCCCAAGGCCACTAATTCACAAGAGGGACACACACGCATGGTATCAGCCAACCGTCAGTGAGCGCTTCCTCTATATCAGGCAGTGCGAAAAGCACTTTACATATAGAATCGCATCTCATTCTCGCAACTGTAACATTCACCTCACTGTTCAGATGCAGACAAGCGGGGAACTTGCCCATATTTACCCCGCTGGAGCCTGGATTCCAACCGGGTTCTGCTCCTCTAAAAGCCTAGTATTTACTACCTGCCACCTAATGAGCTCTCCCCAAGGAAATTAAAAATAGAACCACATTCCTATGGACAGAGATGCATCATCCTCCAGACAGATGTCTTTGTGAAATGCTGTGTCAGTGACAGAAGCCAGGGTTCCTTGACCTCAGAAAAATGAGAGTTGTTAGGAAAATAAACCGAATGCTGGCCAAAATAATGCCAAATGTTCTCATCGCCATCTATTGTTGGGGCCAAGGAAGAAAGGACGAGGGTGGGGTACAGAAGAGGAGGAAATGGTGCTCTGGCTGATTCTGAGGCTGCTGTCAGCTGACCATGGGCCAGGGCCCGTTTGTGATGCTTAGAAACCCACAGAATTAGAACTCAGCTGCTTCAGCCAGCCTCCTGATGGAAAGCGGAGATAATTCAGTAATCCAGCATTTATCGGCAGCTGCTGTGCTCCAGAGGCCAGAGGCGATAACACAAAGTCAGATAAATCACCAAGGAGAAACTGGAAACAGGAGAAGAGCCTGAGCTTTGAACACAGATTAAGAACACAGTATTGGTCAAAATGCAAGGAGAGAAAAAGTACAAAGACAAGACCTGGGAGAAACTAACATACTGGGAATGAACTGAGTAAAGGTTAAGGGCCAGGCGGGGCGGGGGGGGGGGGGCGCGGGGGCCGGAGGACGCATCAGGA